TTTAAAGAGATGATTACCACTTTTTAAAAGGTAAAACGAGTACTGAAATAGTTTTAACAGCTGTCATGATGATATTTAACAGATGAAACTCACGAAAGACATCTGCAAGTATTTTTTACAGCGATAAAACTCAATCATATTTTAATCTTTTAAATAAGTGATTCTGTTTTGATGGATATGTTGCTTTTTCTTACAACAAACGATGTGCCTGTTGCATCTTATGTTTTTGTAATGTCTGATTTTTTTTGACCAGTTCAAATTTTCAATTTAATTTTGTATTCAAAAAACTAGACTGTTTTTCAAAACATATTATTTAAAAGTGACTGAAAGTAAATACAGAAACAGGAGTTTCCCCTTTCAACCATGTGCAAATATAATATTCTATCAATTTATATTGGGAAAATATATGTGGTACCATTTACTTGATCTTCTCTACTTAAAATTTATTGCCTACATAATAAAGGGTATAAAATTTCACAAGATTTCAATAAGACTTTAATGGAACTGACTGATATCCAGAATTTTTGAATTTGGGAAGACTAAAATGTAAACATCGCTCAAATTTGTTCACACTTTTTTTCTTGTATCCTTCAATATTTCTGGAAATGAACCCTAATCTTGCAGCCAACAGAAAAATTGGCTATTTTTGTCCCAATCTTCTGAAGAAAAGTGCAGACTATGTATAAATGGGACTACAATGTACATGTGTTTTGTAAATTTGTGATGAAAAGCGGGAACTGGTAGTGAAAAAGTTACACACAGGTTTTGTTAAATAACGAGCGCATGAAGGGAAAGATGTCTGAAGGAAGAAAAACTTTATGTGCAATCTTATCAACACCATATTTCATTAGGAAACCAATTTAAAATCACAAAGATCCGGAACGAATTGAAAGTGATTGAGTAATGATAATATATAGCAATGACGTAATGCAATGCCCAAATATGGACAATATTATAACAATTATATACACGGTATCAGGCACACACAATGTATTTACAATTTTCTTGAGAATAGGTACATGTACACTACAAATAAGGACACTAACAATGACTACCCAGGAAGATCATAACATACTTCAACTACGGGGAGTGCCTACTTTCTTAGAATATGCCATTTGTGAGCAACCATGTGCACATCCACTTACACACTGACTGCCACATAAATGTTATTTCCTATGTCATCAGTGGAATTTGGCTCTATGGCATGCAAGCAATGTCATGGTTCAATACTGACCAAAAAAACATACTAGTCTGCAGTACAGTACTGGTAGGTCATTCCCCAAGAAATAAATCAATTGAGTATAGGTACAATTTGTATGCCAATTTTTAATAAAATTTGGCAAAGATTGGGACAGTAAAAATAAAGTTTCGTCATCTGCCTTTGCTTCGATCATTCTCTTTAATAGCGACATTTAGTGAATGACAATTGCATGTCAAATTAAATGATGAAATTAACAACTTATTGGCCCACCATTCAAAACATACATTAGTTTACTAGATTCAGGATAGTAAGGCCAGCATTAATTGTGAACAATGAACACATTAAACAAATAATCTCCGTTTTATGGAATTTCAAACCTTGCACCCAATACTATAACATCATAATCAGACAAACCAGAAATTTTTTGACAAAGGAAGCAAGCAGCGTAATGTTGGGACAAACTTCATTCACAGAACACCATTGGGAAAAATGTCTACACAGCATGATGATTCATTCAAACTTGCCGATTCTATGTTCGTAGTAATTTCATAAAGAACACAAACTTTACTAATTAATACACGTACCTAAAAAAACTATGGTAAAAAATGTAATATTTGGTTTATTTGAAGTTTGAATAGAGCAAATATGGTACTTCGTACTTATTGTAAAATGCTGCTAAAGCAGTTACTCTAAAACAAACTTCCTTGATAAAATAATAAGTACTGTAGAATACTTTATTTTCGCTTGGAATTCGCTATTTTCCCTGAGGGAATGATTCAGTGAAAATAAAAACCAGTGAATATACTTTTTTTCCTATATTTTACATTCAACTCATCAAAAATCAGTGAAAACAAATTCCATACAAAACACCCAAAAAATCTTTTCAGTGAAAATCCAACTTGCCGATTACTTAACAAAACCCATGTTTACAGTAATGTCTTTCCAATTTCGCCAAAATTCTGGATAATAAATTCAGTTTCATTAAATTCTCATTGAAATTTCGCACCATTTTTTTCATGTTTGACCAAAACAATGTTTATGGTAGGCAATAAATTTTATGTAGGGTAGGAGTAGATTAGGACCACACATTTTTTTTTATTTGGCCTTATAATATGCAATTACTATCATAAATACTAATAAAATAGTAAGAATTGTAGGGTCTAGCTACAAAGATCACATTTGCATAAGCATTCTAAAAGAAAACAGTTTAGTGACCTGACCCTTAGGTTCATTGACTGGGCTTTTTAGTGTGTGATTTATTTCAATGTTTAAACACTTAGCACAGAGGTGAGAACTGGCAAAGACAAAACTACTATTCAAAGAACCTAGTCAAGTATGAAAACTGTAGCAGTGAAAAGAACACATGGCATGAACACATTGTTTTACCAGCGATGTCTTTTTTCGTAATAGTTGGACTTCGGGAGGGGTGACTACTTTTATCATTTCCTTCACAGTGATAGAAAGGTGCCCTCCATTTACTACAACTACAGCTCTAAAGAGTTAGCAAGGTTGAATTTAATGATTTTATTAGTGATAAAATGAACCATAAAAAAATAGAAATATATTTTTTTAAGTGGTGTGTCACCAGCAGACTAAATTGTTTCCAACATCAAAATGGTAACAACTACAAAATGCAGAAATGTAGATCCTTCTTGCTGAAGGATTAAAAGCGAGAGTTGTCACCTGCACATGCGGCCATAGCATATCGCTGTTTACAAACAAGCGTCTACTCTACATAATGAACCTTCTTGTTTTTAGTGGGTTGTTATCATCGTGTAGGACTCATTTCCGTGTGTATGCACATGACAACCTTTATATCATTTGAAAGAGCATACAACCTATGGACAATTTAGTGGAAACAAAATCCAATGAATTTTTAATGTAATACTAATTTAACAAATACTCTCGCTATATTTGGCTACTAGTATATACATGTAAGCACAGATATGTCAAAAATTGCATGGTTAAGTCACTTATTATGCGCTACTATAAGAGGAAATAATGTTTAATATAACTGTAGATTGATGTTCACTGCAACAAGATTTTTGTAAAAGCCACTGTGACTTGAT